TTTTGAGTTTGCCTAGTTGTCATGGAGATGGTCCTTTTGTCATCACATGATCAAAGTTTCATAGTAGTGATTTAACTTTTCCTCGCCCAATACAGATTCAGATACTTCAGCTCAGGCTATCTACTGATGCCAAGTACTGATGACATGTGATCATTTGGAGTATTTCTTAAAACAACTGAATGCAACAGACAGTAGAAACAATTATTATTCATAATTCATTATGAAATATTATTATCATTATTATTATTTATTCATAGTAATACAATAGAACATTGAACTTCATTTAACATGGGCTGGTCATGTAGTGGCTGATCCAGTTTGCTAAATAAGATCAATATTGGAGCCAATATCTGACGTATCAGATTAATATTTGGGGTCATGTGATGAAAACCGAGCCATTGGTGGCAACTGGTAGTTGTGTATGGGAGAAGATTGCAAACTGACCTGACCGGGTTGGTACTTCACAAACATACTTCATACTTCATATAAAGATACGTAAACCAGAACTGGAGGTGAGTGGGATGGATGTGGATCGCATCAATCATGCACTGAAATGACAGCTAACAGCAGCAGAGAAAGGAACCGATTTTAAAGTTTGACAGCAACAAGATGATTGGCTCAAAGAGGTCATATTGAGTGAAGTGAAAGACGAGCCAACGAGAGCCATGCTAACTGCTCTGTGAGGCTGTAAATGCTAACATGTTCACAATGACGACTATGCTAATATCCTGATGTTAAGCAGGTATAATGTCCACCATGTTTACCGTTAGGTTAGTCTGTTAGTAAGCTAATTGCTAATTAGCACTGAAACAGAAAGTACTGCAGAGATGGAAATGACATTTCTTTTACAGGTATTGTTATTTGGTCATAAACCAACCAAATATTCTACAAATTAAAATGTTTACCTAATGATGTCACTAGATACAAAGTCACCAAAGATTCACAAAGTTATTAAAAATTGTCCTGAAGGAGACACGAGTATGCAGCACAGAATTTCATGAAAATCCATCCTCCATGTTAAGACATTTCACTGAAAGCCATGGATGTGAGTCTCATGGTGGTCTTCAAAGGATTCAGCCTCCAGGAACCATGAATGTCTGTGCAAAATGTTTTGCATCTGGTACATTTTATGACATTTCACATAAGTTTGACCTGCTAGTGGCACTAGAGGAAAGGTCATGGGTTAACCAATGTTAGTGAAATTCACCCATAGGGCACTAAGAATGTGTGTACAAAACTTCACAGCAATCCATCCAGTAGTTCTTGAGATATTTTAGTCTGAACTAAAGTGGTGGACTAACCACCGACATACCCATCCACGGAGCCATAGCATGGCGAATTTTAAATAAATAAATTGAGCATGATGATAGTCTTTCTGGTTGGACCTTGAGTTGTGTGGGTTTTTTTTCCTTTTTTTGTCAGACTACTACAGTAATGAATGCTCAGTATAAATTCCACTTAGTCATTGAAATAAAAGCCTGCCAGTAACACAGAACAAGCTTTAAACCTTAAAAGGAAAATCTCACAACTTCTACTGTGCAGCCACCAGGTAAAATTAAACTTATGGCAGTAAAGACAGCGTGGTTCAATGGAACTTTTGGCCAAAGCAAACATTAACTAGTATGCCTGTGGTTAGACAGTGTGGAAGTATTCCATGTGGTTATCATTGGTGCCCACCGCGTCTCTCTGACTTCCTCCATGACTGCTGTGCCGACCAGATGGGGCCTCTTGGCTGGGAAACACTTAAACGCAGCATGGTGGCTAAACCAAGCCTGAGCAACTGCTTTATCAGCACTGGAGTTTATAAAAATTTGTTTAGACTTCTCTCCACTGGAAAATATCCTGTTTCCCCTCTTTTTATGTGGCTTTGTTACTGCTCTGTTTGATCTCTTCACATTAACAGCATCACAATAAAAACGAACCCATGAAGAATGAGTCCACCCAACAAATAATAAGCAAACACAGGACGGGAGCCTAAACACACCACACATCTCTACCAGCATGGAGAAATCATGATGCTACTGAAAGCCTCATTACGCTCTCTGTTTCCTACTGAGGGCAGCATGTGTTACTTGGCGGTGTTATTTTGCTCCCGTTAAGATTCCATAATATCTTTCCAGAAGTCGTTTTTTGTGTCATCGTCTTCATCCTGCCTCCCTTGTGTATTGTGTGTTCTCCATTGTGCGTGGATGGCTGCTCCCTTGCTGGAGAGTGATTGACATTGTTTGTCTGATTGGCGAGCCGCCTGACATTTCTAAAAGTCACAGCTCACATTAAGGCTGAGCCAAGACTGCTTGTGTGTGTGTGTGCGCATGAATTGGTGACTGTGTGCAGTGCATGTGCAGTGTAAAACTGTGCAATCCATCATTTAATCTCATAAACTTTGAGCATAAACACGTTCAGATGTCCACTTTCACATGTTTTGTCAGTATAGCATCTGCTCAGCTTCAGTTTCAAGTATTTCACTCAAACATAATACAGAATACAGTATGTATGACACTGCCGTGAACTACATTGTGAAGTCAGATTTTTTTCTCACCTTAAAACTACTAATAAAGCTGCATTAACAAGCTGTAAACACAACACTAACATATTGTTGAGTCTCTTCATGGACCAGCTTTTGCGGAATAAGAGTAAAATTGGGTGTTACGGGACAAAACATTCATAAAATGATGCTAACGATCATGTTTCCTGAAGTTTTGAGACATTTGTAGGCATAGAAGCTCATTCATTATTTGCTGGTTTGAGATGTAATTCAGAATTTATTTTATAAACTTTGACAAAGTGAAGACACCTGCATAGGTATGACACATTCTGTGTGTTTCTGGGTAGCTCTAACACAGAGGAATTCAGAGCTGACTGGTGGGTGTTGATAAACAAGGTCGACTGTACAAGGAAAGACTTGTTATAATTCAACCAGAAATTGATCCTTTGGAATTGAAGCTGAGGGAAGATTGCGCATCCACAGTGGCACTGATCTGTTTCCAGTCCACAGAGGTATAGGAGTTTCCAATAACACATATTGATCCAGTCCATTACGGTTATTGAACCGTGTAGATTTACAGTTTGTGGTCTTCTGAAATGAATATTACAGAGATTGGTGGACAGGATTGGTTCTCTGTTGCTGTCTGCAGATTTGACAGTGAAGTGCAAATATGAGGTAAGAGCCCCGTTAACACAAAAGCTTTTTCTTGCTGTCAGCACATAAATCTACAGAAGTAGTACTGCAGTACTGAGTGACTCAACCAGACACACTGTTTGTGACAACAAGGCCTAAGCCAGTTAAACATCTTCTGGGTAAATGTTTCTTCATCCAACCATCTAAATACCTCCTCATGCTCTCTTGATGTTTATGTGTGTCTTTGTTGCACAAAAAAATCTTTCATTTCAAATGCAGAAATTCAGATTAAACAAAGCTGTTTGATGTCCCAGAGAACATATTTTAGTCATATTTAATCGTATTTGTTGTGTAAACATAGTTGCATTTGGGTTCGTCTGTAATCCTGTTACAAACATTCATTCTTGGCTTTGGTTCTGTTGGCATCCTAAACACAATAGCATGTTTTGTAATACTTTTGTGAGACAAAAGGAGAAAATATATGCAAATTGCTGTCACTGGCACACCCAAAGACACATCAATATTGGATCAGAAATACTAGCAGCGGTTGAGGCCTACCATTGATGCTCCTGATCCAGTCAGTGTGTTTATTTTACAAGCAAACAAATTTACAGACGTTTACAGAAGTTTGTTGACAGGGGCCCTCATCCGTGCTGTGAGAGTGAAGGGGGAAAACAGAGACAAACAGGGCGGCTCTTATTGCATCTCCAGCTACCTCAGAACACCACAGCAGGAGGAGGAGGAGCGGAAAGACATGCAGAATCACTAAACTCTGAGTTCTCCTGCAAAGGCCTCGGGGAGCTGCTCACCTTAACATGTGAAAACAACCTGTGTACTTATTCTGTTCAAGATGTCTTGTGCATCCTTGCTCAAAATTCAGCCCGGTACCTTTGAAAACTTTGAGATCTCCACTTGAATTTTAAATAAAGTTATGCAGGTTTGTACAAAGTTTGGCTGCGCACAGCGTGAGTTTCTAATGACTGACCCACAGGTCAGTTGGGTTAACGTGAAAAAAGCTTGAAACCATTGCTTCATTTGAATGAGTGAAATGAACTATTTTCCTTAAATACAGATTTTATTTTAGAGTCACTGAGATTACCATTATTAGTGGCTCTATTAAGATTCAAAAACCAACTCCAGCCTCCATTACACAAGGGAAGATGCATAATTCAAAACCATCTTGAGCGTGGAGCAACAGACTGCAGACCTACAGTATGATGAATAACAAAGAGTCTGCTGCTCTTCTACTCACGTTATCACTGAGAGGAATCAGTGTAGGAGCTGAACCAGTGGTCAGACGGTCTCGGTCAGAGCTTCCAGCAGCAACAAACAAGCTTCTTTTGCCTTTCTTTGTTTATAACGTGCTAATGAAGACTGATGCTGTTTGCTCTGTATTGACCCCGCTGCAGTGATGAGCAGTTGGCTGTTACCAGGTTGTGAGATGCATCTGAGGCAGCTGTGTTTTCACTCAGCAGTTGGTACAATTAATTCTACTGTTCGTCATCAGTCGGATGTTATTCCTGCACACATTAATTGGATAGGTGATCTTTTGTCTCATTCTAATAGAAGGCCTGAGGGTTATCTGTGTTTACACAAGTTGAGTTTATTCCCTCTGAGGTGCAGAGGATGTGAGGATGTGACTGGAGGATATGGGGGGGGTGTTAGCTGATGGTCAGACTGTTATTGTAAGCTCATGGGTAAATTTTAATTTAATTCACAGACACCGGATCAACCTTTGAGGTTTATGTAGGAATCGGATTATGGTCACATAAAGTACACCCCCTCCTCTCTTTCTCTCACACCCCCAAACCTCCCCCCTTCCACCCCCACCACCACCCTTGTTTCCCCTCTTTGAATGGGGGCGCTGGAGCCGTCTGCCTGTCACCGCTTGCCTCTTTGTTCAAACTGATTCTCTCCCTCAGCGTAGCTGCTGGCGAGGAGGGGGGGGACGGTGGGAGCACCTTGCTGTATATGTGTGTGTGTGTGTGTGTCTGTGCGTGAGTGCGTGCGTGTGTATGTGTGTGCGCGCATCCCCCCTCGATCTGGTAGATATCAGTGTGCGAGGATGAACGGCGCATTGGCTGCCGCTCAGTGAAGAGAGGATAAGGAAGGAGCGGAAAGTCCAAGACGCGGAGCGCTTGTGCACACACTCACCCTGTGTGTGCCGCTGCAAAGTGCTGTTTCACCCTGGTTTCCGTCGTTTTCCTGTTCCTGCACCCTCTGGGAGCTTTGGAGAGCACCTGCCTCTGAGGCGCAAAGCTTTCGCTCACATTCCCGAGGATTGCACCATTGAGACGCGTCTCGTATTGTCATTAAAGGTAAGAGTGTAATTTGCTTCGCGTGCATGCTTTATAATAGCCAGTCATTTTGGTCAATGTGTGATATCTCAAGTCACCGGGTGGCAGGAGGCGCCGGAGACCGCTCAGCTGCTGGTGTAGTGTTTTAATTTCTTGGTGACGATATAAAAACGCACTTTAGGTTAAACTGGAACAAAAACAGAGCTTGGAATTTGTCACATTGTCCATCCGTGCATTATCTAATTATATGCATATGCAATAAGTGTTTCCTGTGGACCAATCAATGCCTTTCCACTCGCACGATCACAGTCGCAGCTTTTGAGACGCACACAAATCGCACCCGTTTGGGATATCTTTAAATATTTACAGGTCAAAGCTTTTAATATTGGTCTATATTTACGACCCATGTAGAAGCATGCATAAATCATCAACTCACCAAGTAACCTTGTTAGTGTGTACTTTACATGGGTTTCTCTCTGGAGATCTTGTCGTCATGAGAAGTTTATGGTTTGGTTTACATACATCTTCTAAATCTTTCCTTTTTTCAGTTGACAGAATGAAAAGAAATCAAAGGGCAGGATGCCTTCTGTTGGGTGATGCAATTGTGGAAGGAGATCTGAACACTTGAACAGGTGTTTGAGAAATCTATTATGTAAATCAGAGTCCTTTGGTGAACAAACAACATGTGTTGAATAGCTGCCAAAATCAGATCCTATATTGGTCAGGCTCCAGAGCTGTCACCTGGCCATGACATCAAAGGTACTGTTACATGTATAGAAACTGGATTATCAGTGATCCCTGTGACTGCTTCACACAGTGTTTCATCTTTACATTAAAGTACCTCTCATGTCTCTGTGCCTTCTTAACTCATTTTGCTTTGGTGCTGAAAATATAAAATGAAAAACGACACAAAAAGCTACCAATTGATGGTAAAATGAGTAATTGCCTAGTGCCAAGCCTTGAACGAACCTTTGAAAGCCTCATATTGATGACAGCCTGCTCTGTAAACAAACACTGGCATGTACAAATCACAGTGAAGGAGGAGAACACTTTGGGTCACCTTGACAAATGAGCGGTATTGTCTGGGAATATGAGAGCCCCTGCAGCCCAATAAAGCCCATTCTGTTTCTATTCACTGCTCCAGTCTGGAGGAGTCCAAGTCTTTTCTTCTTTGGCCTTGTTAGTGCGCCCACCACCAGCTGTGTGTCAGTGCCATAAAGCAGGACGAGGTTAACTAGGCAACGTCACGCCACCGACGAGCCCGAGCTGAGGAAATGAATGTGTGTGAGAGATAACAGAGAGGGAGAGAAGTAGTGCCTGTTGGGATGAGTAGAGAGGGGAATAGTGAGGAATGAGGCTAAGAGACCCAGCTGAAAGTTTACAGCATGCATTTTTCATTCTGTCCGGATGTGTATAAGTGTGTGCTTGAAAAAAGAATGTGCAGGTCACACCATGAGCCTCGGCACGCATGGCAGTAGTTGGTGTGTATGTTTGTGTGTTCATGTGTGTATGTAGATGACTGCGCTCATCCGGGCAAAGGGATCAGAGAGCGGTGTTGTGGGGAAGAAAAAGGTCTGATTCTAAAATAGAGTACGAGCTCAGTTCAGCTGCCTCGCTGTCTGTTGCTGCACACTTTGCACTCAATCAGACTCAGCATTGTTTATCGTGCCTGGCTCTGAGCCCTCTGCAATACGAGGAGTCACTTTGTGTCAGTTGAAGATGGGAAAGAAGTAATGTTTTTAGATGCTTTTAGGTAAGATGAGTTGATTTATCGATTAGTTGATTGACAGAAAAATAATTGCTGGAAAATGCCAAAAAGTCCCTTGTTTCTTATTGTAACTGTGAGGATTTGTAGCTTTATTGATAGTAAAATGATTATAAATAGGTTAAGTCTGACAAATCAACCTATTTGACGTTTTTCGCTATTTTATAGCAGTTTATACATCAGACCAAACCCATTAAGTGAGAAAAATTAGGCTTAGGAACTTTTTAAACAGTGTTCTTACATTTTTATAAGTCTGTAGTAAAAGACTAAGACTGCATAAATAATTTGCAAATCAATCCATAATAAAGACAGCTGTAAGTTCCAGCCCTAAAGTGCTGTAGCATTGCAATTTTTCAGAGTGAAATGAAATACAGGAGATGCGTTTGCCCTGCTGGTCATAAGTAGGCAGTTCTGTCTCCAGTTTGCTGCTATGAATGTATTTCACAAGTCTTGCCGACGGTGTATTTTCAGTTGAAGCCAAACATAATTCTCAGTCAGGGTTTGATATTATTCTCTATGGTATGAAAGTGCCCACTCTAATATGTCACTTAGGTGATTATGGGGTCTATTCCCCCTTAATACAGTGCTAATAGTTAACAGAATAGCCCTATATAAATGCAAATCAGCACCAGCACTCGTTTATAGCGCAAGATCAAAATAAGCTTCACCTCTGAGTCAGCCACAGGCTTGTTGCTTTATGGTTATGTTGCCCTGGAAATGTGTTGCCTTTGTTTTGATCAGAATGTGATGGGTAGTGTAATGTATGAGACTTTTTTGTAGCAGTCTTTGGGGTGATTTTTTGTTCTAGTAATTCATAAAGATCCAGCTGACTTGGAACTTAAGTGGGAATTTTATGACGTCTTTGAACTTTGTGGTCCGTTTACAGCCGGAAGGGGAATAGGCTTTAGACTAACAATGACTTCACAGTGACTGGAGCTAAAACTGTCCACGTTTTCAGCACTGGACAGCTCCCAAATCTTAGAGCCCAATGATCCAACCACAAACATTTGTCAAATAGAAAAGGGGCATTGAATAGTTGTGTTTTGAGCTGCTGGATGGGGAAGTAATGTCGAACTCTGTCTCCCTGGAATATTGAAACCCTCTCACAGAGTGAGTCCCCCAGCCGCCAAAACCCAAAAGGGATTGGACAAACCAATCCATCAATCAACTTCAGTCTTTAGCCTGGGAGGGACTAAAGCAGCCCACCAGGCCAATCATTACAAGCGTAGATGAGACCACAGCTGAACAGCTCACCCACACAAAGAGAAAGGTCCCTCTCTTTGTCTTTGGCTATGGGCTCTCCTCTAAGGTATAGTGACTGGTGGAAGACAAATGTTTGGCTTTACAGTCGACTGAGAAGTAGCTCTTTTAGCCTCACCAAAGTTTTATCAGCCTCTGCAATGTAGAAGATTAGAACGATTAGTCACTAAGTTAATAGCCATCGCAGTTGTGTTACCTTTTGCACATGTCACACTGTTTGAATTATGTAAACTCAGCACTTCTTTCTTGTTGTTGTTACATGAGAATGATGAGAGTTGGCTACTGCCTCAGCAAGCATTAGCACTGGTCATAAACACTTGAAGGACAGAGCTCCCTTTTTTTTCCGTTCCTTACCTAGTTGATATTCCACAGACTCAGCACACCATTAAAGATGAGGAATTCTTGGATGAAGCCCCACCAGCATGTCTATGTTTGTGTCTATTATTCCATTTCATTTCACAGCCACAGCCTCGTTTTTCTGACCACCTCTCCCTGTGGATGGAAATGTGGTTGTACTATGTATTTAAAAGTAGCTCTCACAATCCAGTGTGTGTGTGTGTGTGTGTAACCATAGACTAATATACTCAAGATGATAGCTGCGCCTCATGCACCTGATCCTTTATTGACTTTGTTACCAAGAGCTAGCCTCAAGACCTTCACCTTTGACCTCTGGTATCTTTTAGACACAGCTGGTGTGGCTACTTAGACTCTCCCCTAGTTACATATATTTGAACTCTGACCCTAAAATCATTATTTTCTTCGATATTTCTATTTACCTAAACATCTTAGCTGCATAAATTTGAACCTCAAAGTGTCAATGGAAGAGATTAATTAAAGCTGCTGTAATATTTTCTTTTACAATAACAATGGATCAAATGACAACATGGTTCCTTTCAGCAGAGTGTTTTAGCATTTTTTATTTTTATTTTGGTTCACTCTTATCAACTATGTTCCTACGCTACCTTTACAGCACCAAACGACAAACAGACACAGACAAGCAACTAGCTGGTGAACATAGTGAAGCATTTAGCAACTAAAGATACTTAATTCAGGACTAGGTGTGGACCAATAACAGAGCTAAAAGCACAGTGAATATTGGTGGCCAGAAAAATGGCACCAAATGAATACTAATGTTTCTCTGGATCTGCTGGATCTGTAAATTAGCCAGTGTTTGCTAACAGATTCACCATATGAACTTATAAAATGACAATATATATATATAATATAAGTTATGGCCAGTTTAAAAGAGATTCCTTAACATGCTTCTAGTTATTCCTGTGCAAATTCAGAGTATGTATGTTTTTAACTTGACATGAAAAAGTATCAATGGAAGAATATGAAGAGTAAAAAAAAATATGAAATTTTAGGAATAGTAAATATCATAGAAACTAAGAAAAAAAACGTCTCATTCTAAGGTAACAAAAACACAACAATTCTTATTTTCAGGTGATTATACACACACATATAAATATAAAATTAAAACATATCTATGAATATTATATTTTATTCTGCCAATAGATCATCCAAATGTTACACACTGGACCTTAAATAATTCAGTAGGTAGGCAGAAATGGCCCACCATAGAGTCCTTTGGATAAAATCACTCCAAGGACAAATTCATACACATTCACTCACTATTTACAGACTTTACCATTTTTACACGAAACAAATCAAAGTAAAATAAGAACATTTTTCCTCTTCCATTTAAAGGTTCAGTGGTAACAAATCAATTGATGTCGGTATGATTTAATCCTTTTTTGATGCATTACAGAAATGAGCGATGATTGATTCCATAGAGGCCACTGTCTGGTGCTCCCTGGTTTCTATTTCCTCTAAAAGCTGTTACGATACTCTGCTCTCACACATTTATGTGCACACGTATAAAGACTGCGGCTCCCTCATATGTTAATCAAATGCATTTAAATAGATTTTTTTTGGTCCAACTCTCAGTTGGATAATGTATACTGAATCTCACAGACAAACCTACACCTTTTGC